CCTCATTATCAAAATATACGGTCGAACAAAGATGATGAAGCCTTCGTTGCTCTTCGCGTTATTATGTTTGCTTCAAATCAGCAAACTAGGGTTTTGCTTAAAAGAAGCTAATAAGGATAAAAACAGAGTTGTAAGCGTCACTGATTTTGGGGCCATAGGAGATGGGAAGAACGATGATTCTCAGGTGAATATATATCGCTATTTGTATCAAATTAATGGCTATAAATCTTTGCTTTAATATGTGTAATATATACAATAACGTATACTCTTACATATGTGTTTAAAATTTTAGGCTTTTCTTAAAGCATGGGAATCTGTATGCGAAAGAGGAAGTCGTAATACAAAGTTTCTAGTCCCTCCAGGGAAAACCTTTATGCTTAAACCTCTTGCATTCGTCGGTCCATGCAAGTCTTCCTCCATCTCCTTTTCGGTATGTACTATACACTTTACTTTTTATTAGTTTCAAATTATATTAGGAAATCTCATGTCAATAGAAATATTGTTTTCGCAGCATAACTCGAAACAATATATAATTCGGTGATTTACTTACATTATTAGATAAGGTCATAAGAAGCAATCTTGCAAACCCGAGTTACATACATGCCTAACTTTTCTATCTATGTATATCTTACTAATGTTCTGGTTTGATTGCAATAGATAAGAGGTAATCTTGTGGCACCGGGTTACACTTGGCCTGTGGGAAGATACCCAACATGGATTAGTTTTGACAGTATCAACGGTCTAGTTGTCTCCGGAGGCGGCACCATCGACGGTCGTGGTTCTTTGTGGTGGGGCAAAGGTCATACTCGCCCCTCCGTAAGTCCCATTTGCAAGATCCTTACACTCATAAATATAACTTTGATCAATTAACCAGTTATACAAGTTATTGATGTTTCTTTTTCTCTGTTTTAGGCAATGCATTTCAACGGCTGTAATGGACTTAGGATGTACAATCTCCGACACTTGAACAGCCCTCGGAACCACATAAGTCTAAGCTGTTCAAAGAACATGCATCTCTGGGGTCTGAGATTGATTGCACCTGGGGACAGTCCCAACACGGACGGTATTGACATATCGAATGCTATAGGAGTCGATATACGCGACTGTATCATCTCCACTGGAGATGATTGCATCGCCATCAATGGGGGTTCCTCTTTTATCAACATGACCCGCATCTTTTGTGGCCCCGGTCATGGCATCAGGTGATTTTGCTATATTCACGATTCACAAACAATCATCATATAATATACACGAAACTGATATGGAATATGGATTTAATATTACAGTGTAGGAAGTCTTGGAGAAAATGGTGAATTTGCAACCGTTGAAGAAGTGAGAGTGAAGAACTGCACTTTCACAAACACACAGAACGGTGTCCGGATCAAGACATTCCAGGTTGTCCATTCATCTTTCATACGTTCATCATTGAGCAATGATCTTTTTCAGCAGATTTCCTGATTAGCTCGGGTTTTGTTTCGTAGAACGGATCAGGATATGCTCGGAAAATCTCATTCGAGGATATCAACATGGTCGCTTCAGAGAACCCTGTTATCATCGACCAGAAATACAACAATCATGGGAGCAAGAATGGAAGATTAAACAGCTACCAAAGCTGTCATTTAACCAGCTCGTTAGGAGAAGCACGGAGTAAGTCAGTTAATGGCAAAGGCGTGAAAGTGAGCGATGTGCGTTACACCAGAATCCACGGGTCATCTGCGAGCGATCAAGCCATCACATTGAACTGCGACGCGGATTTGGGGTGTGCGAATATAGTGATGGACCATGTGAATATGGTTTCGGCAACATCAGGACACAAAGTGTTTGCTTCCTGCAACAATGCTCATGGGAGCTATGTTTCTTCACTAGCGAGTTGTCTCACAAAGGGATGATTCTTGTGGTATTTCTTTCTCATGGTGAATGAAATCCATTCCTTGGAAGAACCAAAAAGAAGATGAATTTTTTGTAATCTTACTTTTTCATTAGAACAGAACTGTTTATTCCGAGTTTTTTTAGGAGTAAACAGAACTAAAAATGTTTCGGTTTTGTTTATTTTGCATAAATTCTGCAAACATTTCTTGGGTCATGGAATAAAGAATGAAACTTTGTGTCCACAATCTGCAAGTACTGAGATTATGGAGGAGGAGAAGAAGGGAAAGATTCAAAAACTCTCTGGCTGTGTAACAGAGAGATTGGCTCATGATTCCATGGAGACCAAACACTCTTTCCATGGGGGATTTTTCGAATTGTAAGATCCATGGAACAGCTAGTTTAATTGGCTACAATACCTATCAAGAACTGAAAAATTGAAAACTGGAGTGATTCATTGTCAAAAGAACAATGCTCGATTGTGAAAGTCCCATACAGCAAGTGAGAAGATTTCTGATTTCAATCAAAATCCAAACAGGTAAAGATCCAGAGACCAAACAAGAATTGAAGAGAAGTATAAGAACAC